GAAGCACCGCCCGGGCAAAGCTGCAGCCGCCTGAGGCTCTTCACAGAGCGCTCGGGCGGCTGCAGCATGGGGGGGGCGGCGGGGCTGGTCATGGCACCCCCCACCCTGGTGGCACCCGGGGCGGACCGTCCCCCCCGCCCCCCCTTTAGTACGCCACTGGTCCTATATCTTATTCCAAAGGTCCAGTCAAAACCAGTCATATCCTCATGCAGTTCCTCAAAACACGGGAATCCATCCTTGGCACACTCAACATATATCAAAGACACACATAGTACATCCATCCCTGTGTCAGCTAACACTTCCTCTCTCTCCGGCTAACTCTACAAAAATAAAAATAGTTCAATAGTTCAGCATAGTTCAGAAAAATAGAATACGTCTTTCACAGAGTATAAAGAAATCAGTTTAGACACCAGACATTTTGTTCCATAAAATGGCTAAGGGTAGCAATATGGCTGACAACAAGACAATGTCAGCTTCCATAGTTCTTCTTTTGTTTGCTGGATTTTCACCACAATGCTCTGTGCAACACCCCAATGGTTGAAAGGGTTATTACAGATCCAGCGGCATTAGACAGCACTGCACTTTCAGGACTTTCCAGGTTCTTGCATGCAAAGTTTATGTCCTCATAAGTAAGTATCTCAGTTTCTTCGGCCTGCATGGATTATGACTAAACAGATGTAATTGTAAAATACTTATTGCATGGTCAGCCAAAGAGATTGGTGTGTAGTCCCAGAAATCAGGTGGCACAAACACTCCAGGACGGTCTCTACAATCATACAAACACAAGGATCAATACAACATCAATTAATTAATTAAGATAAAAATGAGACAGCGCTAAGTAACTTATAGGCAGCAACCTTTTAAAAGGGGATCCCTCAGACCCTTTAGAACTAGATAAATAGAAACAATAAAAAAAGGCTGCGCGCACAAATAAAAATAAAGTCCAATTAAAAAGAAAGGAAAAGTCCAACTTGTTTTTAATTGAATTCTACTCAGTTTTTAATTGAATTCTATTCCTTTTTAGCTGTTAGTGTTAGTTACTAAGTTTAAAACTACATCCCCCAGTAGGCATTTCGGCTATAACTTCCGATCTCCGTCTATTATTCATATTTATAGCTTATAACCTTCGTTTTGTAATGTAAACCCCTGTAATGGCATCAGACCACTTCTAACTATCTATAAACCAAATGTCTTTTTATTTTTTATGCGGCCGCTGGTCGCGGCCAAATCCGACTACATCCCCCATGTGGCATTGCGGCTTAACTTCCGAAATGCGGAAGTGCCGTATGTCACGTGATTATCTTTTAATGTTTAAAATTATACTTTCTCACCCTCGTTTTCGATTTTTAATCATCAGAAATAAGTTATAACACTATAAACTGTATATTGATTAAGTTATGGATATTTTAAAGTTTTAAATATGTTTTCATTTCTGATTGGATGGACCAATTTTTGGCGCCAAATTTTAATTAGTTATGCTCTTATATAACACCTACAAGCCAGGTATCACTTGTTATTCCATTTGAAAAAGTCTTTGACGAAACGCGTTATGGAAATTTAATTATTGTGTTTGTAAATATATTAAAGTATTTTTGGTCATTTGTTTGTGCCAATAATCTTTTTTATAGACACATAACCTTTCTTTTTTACCCTGGCTTTTTAAATTATTTTATTTATTTTTTATTGGTTTTACAAAAACCTTGAAAATCCCTGGAAGTTTCCTGCACTTAAAGAAATCCTAGGTGGGGATAAATCCACCCAAGCTGCCATCACGGAGCAGTTGGTCTGCTCTTGTTCTGTAAGTACATTCTTTTATTATTTTATCAATATTGCTATACAGTGAGCACTATTGGCTGTTTCTTTTATTTCGAGAACTGGACACCAATCACAGAGAGGAACCCATTTAAATCCTATAAGCGGGGATCAAACCGCTGTATGTGCTTCATTCCAGAGCTAGGACATTAGCTCTGGTAAATGTGAGTTTTATACTATTATTTCTTCACGTCTACATTAGAACTTTACGTATTGCACTATTGGTTGTCCTTCTCTCCCTTTTTATCTTTCATATAAGTGGAACCACTACAATAGTAGAAGACGTCACCAGCAAAGACCATTTGTAAGGATAAAACAGTTGGACTTTTCCTTTCTTTTTAATTGGACTTTATTTTTATTTGTGCGCGCAGCCTTTTTTTATTGTTTCTATTTATCAATTAATTAATTACCTAGGCTAAAACTTAAATTAGAGATTAAGGTTAAATCCTTAACTTGTGTAACATGTACTTCTCTTATCTTTGCTTATATTTTATGCAATCTGTCTTCTATGAAGTTTTACATAATATCCCTTTGGAATGCCTTTGTACAGATGAGAGAAGCACTCACTCTATAGAAATGCTTGTTAGGATGAATATTAAAACACTAACATATACATAAGGGGATAATTCCCAATAAAATTCTGTTCCTAAACTTGAACCTTGATTTGATACTCAAAATTAATTACTTTAATAATCACGAATAATTCAATACTCTTGGATTAACACCTAAAACTATATAGAATATTAAAAACAAGAACCATCTCTGTTTTAGGCAGGGGTAGTTGGGTGTGGATATAGGTTGGAAGCTGTGGTTGATATTGAGGAATCTGTGGGGGTGGGTTTGGGCACTCATTTTTCCAGTGACCCTGCTATCCACAATTAGAACAGTGTGTTCCACCCATGCTGAAGTTGCTACCTCTACAAAAGTTAGACCCTTTGACCAAATCCTCTACCTCTGCCTTTAAAACTTTTCTGATTCAATCTCCTATCACTTTCCAAATGTATTTGTCTCGCCTGCTTAGGATCACAATCCTTGTGACTGATACAACATACCTTTTCCTTCTTTCTTTCTATCAAAACAACTTGCTGTATCTTTCTCATGAATCTTCCCAAGAAATTCATTTGGGGTCAAAAAGGGCCAGTCACAGACCAACAAGGAACATAAGTGAACAAGGAGGAAGCATATTCCATATGCAGGTCGGGATTACCGAACTCACACCCCTCTTTGTGTACCCCTCTTTGTGTACCACACAGATATAACATTAATAAGCTTTAAAGGTTTAATGTATAGTTAAATTGTGTATATAAAGCAAGGTTGTCTAGGGGTATATTCATCGACAATGAAAGCATAGCCTTCATATAGGGCTTGCAATACTGACAGTCTGTGTCATGAGCGTAATGCAGACATGCCGTTAGGTACTTTTCCATTGTTATAATATATTGAAAACACTAAGACTTTGCAAATTTTTAAAACGCATATTGCTTCCTGTACCTGGTGCCGTGCAAGGATGTAGTTGGGACATATTTCAAATTGAGTATCAAAAATCACAAAACTAAATGTTATACGCTTATCAAGAAAACAAGTTTAACCCGTTAGTGCGTACTTTGGATAGCCTCTTTGCATAATTTGGCTCCTAGAGAGATTATTATATTATTTATTAATCCTCTTCTGGATCTGCAAAATGCTTTCAATTTACCCATACAAATATAATACAGTAGTTTAGTAGATTAGGATTACCTCACTTATACATTTCAGAAATTGTCTAATCTCTATTAAAAAATACCATTTTATTATTACCTCATAATCAATGAGGCATACTAGATGAATCTTACTTTGACACAAACAATGCAATATACTTTAAAACTAGAGTTACATAGTTACATAGCTGAAAAGAGACTTGCGTCCATCAAGTTCAGCCTCACAAATGTTGTTGCTGTTGATCCAAAAGAAGGCAAAAAACCTGGTCTGAAGCGCTTCCAATTTTGCCACAAAGTAGGAAAAAATTCCTTCTTGACCCCAAAATAGCAGTCAGATGTCTCCTTGGATCAAGCCGCTATTAACCCACTAATTAGAAATTATATCCCTGTATGTTATGTTTTTGTAAGTATTTATCCAATTTCAGTTTAAACATCTGTATGGACTCTGACAAAACCACCTCTTCAGGCAGAGAATTCCATATCCTTATTGTTCTTACTGTAAAAAAACTTTTCTTTGCCTTAGATGAAATCTCCTTTCTTCCAGCCTAAATGTGTGACCTCGTGTCCTATGTATAGCCCTGTTTATGAATAGATTTCCAGATAAAGGTTTGTACTGGCCCCGAATATATTTGTATAAAGTTATCACATCCCCTCTCAGGCGCCGTTTTTCCAAACTAAACAGATTTAATTTTTTTTTTTTACCTTTCTTCATAACTAAAATGCTCCATTCCTTTTATCAATTTTGTAGCTCGTCTCTGGACCCTCTCCAGTGCCATGATATCCTTCTTTAGAACAGGCACCCAAAATTGCACAGCATATTCAAGGTGTGGTCTTACCAGCGATTTATAAAGAGGCAGAATTATATTTTCATCCCGAGAATTTATACCCCTATTTATACATGACAAAATCTTACTGGCCTTAGCAACTGCAGATTGACATTGCATATTGCTGCCTAATTTGTTGTCTATAACAATTCCCAAATCCTTCTCGTGTGTGGTTATCCCTAAATCACTACCATTTAGTGTGTAAGTTGCTTGTGCATTCTTAACCCCGAAGTGCATAACTTTGCATTTCTCTGTGTTAAATTTCATCTGCCATTTTAGTGCCCAGTCCCCCAATCTATCCAAATCTCTCTGCAGCAAAGCAATATCCTGCTCACATTTTATTACTTTACAAAGTTTTGTGTCGTCTGCAAACACTGATACATGGCTTTCAATGCCTCTTTCAAGATCATTTATAAATATGTTAAATAGAAGTGGTCCCAAAACAGAACCCTGAGGGACACCACTTACCACTTTTGTCCAGCCTGAAAATTTACCATTAATGACAACTCGTTGTACTCTGTCCTTAAGCCAATGTTCTACCCAAGAACAGTAATATTCATCTAGACCAATTTCTTTTAGTTTGAAGACTAACCTATTGTGAGGAACCATATCAAATGCCTTGGCAAAGTCCAAGTAGATCACATCCACTGCAACACCCTGATCTATACTTCTACTTACTTCTTCGTAGAATGCAATTAGGTTAGTTTGACATGACCTATGTTTCATAAAACCATGCTGATTATTGCTAATAAGTTCTTCCCAATGAATTCCTGAATATTATCCCTTAATAGCCCTTCAAATATTTTCCCAGTTACAGAAGTTAAGCTCACAGGTCTATAATTTCCAGGCAAGGATTTTGAACCCTTTTTAAATATAGGAACAACATCTGCCTTCCTCCAATCCTCCGGTACAACACCTGAAACAAAAGAATCTTGAAAAAATTAAATACAGAGGTTCACTTATTTCCCTACTTAGCTCCTTAAGTACTCGTGGGTGAATACCGTCAGGCCCCGGAGCTTTATTTACATTAATTTTCTTTAATAGCTGTAGCACCTTGTCTCGAGTTATCCAATCACAAGTTATTTGCAAGTTTTTTTGCAGCAATCGTTTGCATATCTCTTGCCATAGGATCCTCATTAATATATACTGAAGAAAAATAGTTATTTAAAATTTCTGCTTTTTCCTGGTCTTCATTAGCTAATAAACCCAACTCTGTTTCAAGTGTACCTACACTTTCATTTTTTGTTTTTTTAGAATTGATGTACTTGAAAAATTTTTGGGGGTTGGTTTTGCATTCTTTAACTATCAATTTCTCATTTTCTAGTTTTGCCACTTTAATTGCCTTTTTGCAAGCGTTATTGGCTTCCTTATATCTTAAATAGGATGCCTTTGATTTGTCTGATTTAAATGCTTTTAATGCCCTTTTCTTATTTTTAATCTCTTGTTTTACTTCTCTACTAAGCCACATTGGTTTTAATTTGTTTCTTTTATATGTATTACCCAATGGTACATACTGAGAAATGTACCTTTCTAATATTTGTTTGAATAGTTTCCATTTATCCTCAGTGTTTTTATCACTAAGGAGTTTATGCCAGTCGATATGTTGTAGAGCTGCCCTAATCTTATTGAAATTGGCTTTTTTTTAAATTATATGTTTTAGTATACCCCACCTGCTTTTGCTTTTTTGAGTTTATTTCAAAATTTACCATACTGTGATCACTATTTCCCAAATGCTCCCCTACTTGAATGTTGGTTAAAAGATCAACATTGTTTGTTATGACAAGATCCAGACAAGCATCCTTTCTAGTTGGTGTTTGTACCAGTTGTGACATAAAGGTGTCATTTAACACATTCAAAAACCTGATTCCCCTTGCTGAAGTACTAGTCCCTCTTTTCCAATTTATGTCTGGATAATTAAAATCTCCAATAATTAACGTGTTACCTCGATTTGCAGCTTTCTCAATTTGCTCTAACAGCTGTTCTTCCTCATTAATATTTACATTAGGTGGTTTATAACATATCCCAACCAATAATTGATTTCCCTTTGTTTTCCCCAAGCAGATATCTACCCATAAAGCCTCCACCTTTTCCTCATCACACTCCACATGCCTAAGATTTGACTTTAACTCATGGTTGACATATAAACATACCCACCACCCTTCTTGTTTTTCCTATCCTTCCTAAATAACGTGTACCCATTTAAATTAACTGCCCAGTCATGTGTCTCATCCCACCATGTTTCTGTTATGCCTATTATATCATATTGTTTATTGTATGCTATTGCCTCTAGTTCCCCCATTTTGTTATATAGGCTCCTTGCATTAGTTAGCATACATTTAATATTATCATGAGTCTTTTGTACTTTTTGTGAATTATCAATATTACATACCTCCTCTGCTCTGAGTTTTCCCCTCCCCCCATCTCCACCCCCTTTGTTCTGAGCTAAAGCCCATCTCCTTTCCATCCTATCTCCATTTTCTAGATTGCTTTGACCCTCCCCCCCCTACCACTAGTTTAAAATCTCCTCCAACCTTCTAGCCATCCTATTCCCCAGCACAGCAGACCCTCTACCGTTAAGGTGCAATCCATCATGACTATACAGGTTGTACCCAAGCGCAAAATCGGCCCAGTGCTCTACAAACCCAAAACCCTCTTTCCTATACTCTGAGCTGGACAATACTCCCCTATTAGAACTCCTTTATGAGGGAGAGACATCTTGTCCATTCAATCCTTTTTATCAGTAAAAAAATGACTTTCAGGATTAATCAATTTGCAAATGGAAACGTGGATCCACGATTTGAACAGCAGAAGTTTGCGGGGCCCCTTTCAAGTGGGATGTAACAAACGCTTTTCTTTCTCCAGGAGCGATAGCATACAATTGTTTCATTCTAGCCGGCTGGACAGCATTTCACCTTTTGTAAAAACACTAAATGCTTGCGTTAATGATATGCAAATCACTCTGCTAGTTAAACTCCTACACAATGGACAATAAAATACATAAAACACATAACACACCAATTCATTTCAAACCATATAACTTATACTCAGCATCCAATGTAATATTACACGTCATCTCACAAAACAGACATCTCACAAAACAGACGTAGTAGAAACACATAATGGATACCCAGCAGATATGCCAATACAGAAAACACATTCATGGGCACGAAACTAGACACTCTGTGTCCCTCCTAGGAAACATGGTAAACACAATATAGAAGCAGTCTTAAACTAACACCTCCAAATCTCCATTCCCATAGGTGATAGAACTACTCCAACTCCAACAACTCTTGGCCAAAACGCTAGTATTCAACAGCTAATAAAACATTTATTTGATAGGTTATTTGGCTGGCATTTTTATCAGTATCACTAGACTGAGACAAACTGATTCAAATATAATTTAAAACAACTGAAAATGTAAATGTTGCTCTCTTATTTACAAACAAAACTCATATTTACAGTATGGATCCTTTGCAACAAACACACAGGGCAGGGAAGATGTGCTGATTGGTGTTCTATACAATTAATCCCATACGGGGAATTAACTTTCAAATACTAATGAAGTGACTTTTTGTCTCAGTATAAAAATACTGAGCTCATCATGCAAACAATGTAACACATTTACACTATCCCAGTCTCATAGAAAGTGTAGTGGGCTTATGGTATTAAAGTAACAATCATACCAGGCACACAGATCCCATGTGAAATAACGTACAATAAAACAGAGTAATAAACTTATACTTCTATGCGACAGAAAGAATAAAGCAAAATATTTAAGTAGGTCTATCAGGTACAACCTGCGAGTCAGTTCTTTTCTAATATACAGTGCTGGTATCATATATATATATATATATATATATATATATATATTGGTCACTCAGGACCTGAACTCACATTTCCCATACTGCTGACTCAGAGCGGACACACTACTAACTTACCAAAGTGTGTCCCCAATATAGACAATCACCCACAAAGAACACTTAAGACAAACAAAAGTGACCGGGAGAAAGAGAAGTTTGGGGTATACTTAAACCGTGCTCCTCAGAACACCTATAGTCTTAATAAACCGGAGACCTCTTATGGTCTCAAAACCTGTATCTACCTGAGATACCCTGTATCTATCTTAGATACTAACCTGGGTTACCAAAACCATATAATAAACCGGAGACCTCTTATGGTCTCAAAAACCTGTATCTACTTGAGATACCCTGTATCTATCTTAGATACTAACCTGTCTAGTAAAAACCGGAGACCTATTTACAGTCTCAATATAACTAAACTCCTTACACCTTTCCTATCTACTGGATACAGACTTACTGAACCAAAGGGGGTCATAGACAATTAGCGTCAATAAGACACAAAAATGCTACTTACCCAATGGCTTTGCTGATCCCACTTCTGACACCAAGCTGAAATGGTTAATGCTGTTCTGGACTCAACTCCCCTCGATTCTCGATTCTCCGGTCACCACATCAATTGACGGGAGTTCTTGTTTAGCAAATAACGACAGACACGAGAGAGTGCTCTAACAAGTTCTCAATGAGTATATTTTCAAAGCTAGCATTTATACACAGTTTGTCACGCAAGCAGCGAGATTTATCGCTTCCTTATAGTTAATAGTACATACTTCTCTGACATTAAAAAGATAAGCATTTGAATAAAGACGGGACAGGAACATCCTGAGGTCAAGGGAGGTCATACATCCTGTAGAAGGGAGGCCTCTCAGAGCATGTTACAGAATACATCTGCCAAGGTCAGCATAATTATTTCAAACATTATTTTAAAGCATATAAAGCAAAAAGAGTTAACTATTTCATATCCTTACAGTGTTGTTGTTTTTTTTTTAACGATAATCAAATTAAATAAAAAAAAGTCCAGCTGGCTTTATGAACCTTTTCCTGCAAAGCTGATAACTCAACTCCAGTGCACACTTCAGACTCGGATTGGCTGCTGGGCACTGACATCATAAGTTCACTACAGTATAGTCTTTTATTTCTTTTCCCCCAATTGTCACTGACAGTTTGAACATTGTCAGGGTAATTTACTAAACATGGAATTTATGCCAAATTACGACCAGAATGGCAATATTAGTATTTACTAAAGCTAATTCCAGTCGGAATTTAACCATCTTTTCCAAATCTGCACCAATTTGCCGGGTGCATTTAATGTCCTGTTTAAACTCAGTGCTTTTTCTCAGCAGAACCTTATACAAAATAGAATTCTAAATATGTATAAAGCACAGATTTAAAAAATAAAAAAATAAAAATATCAGGACATAATAAATCCAGTAGGATGCACATTTGCAAATTATCATTCACTTGCTTTTTGCAAGCGAATGATAATTTTAAGCACTATTTTCCAACTAACCAGCAAACAAATAGTTAAACTGTGGTGGAATTTTGGTGAATGTAAATTTAGTAGGCCAAGATTTCCATGTGGCATATGTGTATGTTGTGTCAGTTAGTCAGCTACACGTAGCTAGGATACTGTCATCAATGTACTGAGCATGTGCAGGAATGCAGGAACTGAAATTGCACTTATTTCCTTTGTCTTGGATGGGCCATGTGGTTTGACTAGATGTACAAGTCTATATTCTGCTTATTGATTGGTTAAAGGTATATGTGGGTGTAGCTATTAATGGGAGGAGTTATAGTGCTATATAAGGAATGTACACCATGTGTTGGTCTCTCAGATCTTTTGGAACAGGAGTTCATCTGAGACCCGATCGGTAATGTGAATAAAGGCCTCTTACTTCCTGAAGACTTGTGTCCATATCTCTGTGTTTGGCTTCTGCATGCTTACACGGTAACAAAACATCACTTAGTGACCCAAGGGTTAATCATGTAGCAGCTGGCCAGTGCTTGCTAGCTAGTCATATCAGAAAAAAAAAAAAAAAGTAACCTTATGT